TATAAATAATAAATATTAACTGCAGTTCCTGTGTAAATGTGAAATTTCGATTCAACAAAGTATTTACATAAATATTTTCTAATATAATATTGTAGTAATTATTGTACTATTCCAGATTGTAGGTACCCGTTATAGTAGTGCACTAGTATCTGTCTGCTGCATCACCCTAGATAAAMGATAAGTATGAGTAAATAATTTAATTAAATTTTCTAACTAACAAGGTACTATTTTGTTATTTGTGTTTAATTTGAATGTATCTTATCATTTTTAATTCATGGTTACTAAATATTGCACAACTATTTTTTATAAAATAAATACATTCTAAAAATACATTTTGTTTAGTAATAAATAATAGTACTAGTATTATTGATGTTTTATTGAGGCCAGTCAAGTGTTTCACAATTTCTACAAAAACAAAGGTTCCCGTGTCCGTCTCTATTATTATTTATTACTTATTGACTCTAATTTTTGTCGTATTAGTTAATCTTAATTGATGGTTTCGATGACAAAAATAAGGAGAGACAATAGAAATAAAATAGCTTTAATATGTTTGTACAGTTTGTACAAACATATAAAACATTTTTAAAATGTATAATATATGACGATAGTAATAAATAATTGTAGGAAGATATACATTATAGGTATGCTATACATAGCTAATCATTTTATGACTTATTACCTATAATTATTATTTTACATTTGGTAGCCGATGGGACGTCATATACCTAATCGAATTTTTTTTCAATATACCTATAGTAAATAGAGTAGGTGCACCATTCCTTAACAAATTCTGACAGTTCTGCAAGCCAAATTTAAACAACATGATAAACGTATCCGGTTGACCTGTCATATACCTACTGGCTACACTATAATGCAAATTTGAATAATTGCAAAGATATAATAGTTATACATATTTACGAACACAGGTACTGGGTAGGTAGGTATGTATGTAGTTATTATTATTATTACGTTCCTACCTATAATCTAATAGGTACGAAGCACGAGATATAAAAATACAACTTTGTTTACGTTCCTTGGTGAGATGATTAATTATATATTATTTATATGTAACCTACTCGTGACGCCAAATTCTTAAATGCATAATTTTAAAACGTAGCTCTTGTCGTGGTTGAAAGTACTCGCCATCATCACTACGGTCATGATTGTTGTTTTTACGCAGCAATTATATTAACATTATTTATTCCTCTTGTATGCAACATACTGTAGTACCTAGCTAATACCTAGTCTATATTATTATTTTACATGTTAAACCATTTTTCGTTCTATAGATTTAGGTTGTAGTAACTAGTAAGTATAATGTATATGTTATCATTGTATTATATAATATTTATAAATATTTTGTAGGAGAAATAATAGTACCGGCCTAGTGCGTTGTGCTCATAACCTAATATTTAATGATGTTTTATTTTAATGTTCTATAAATGTTTTAAAAATATAGGTGCTACTCAAATATATAATGTGCATAATTTATAATAATATACAGCTATTACATTGTCATTGGTGCCTACCTTGACACTTCGTACAATCATGCCTTTATAGATATATATTATGCATTTATGAAGTTTAAGTTATGATAGTCGTTTTTTAATCACAAAATATCTATTGACAAAAAGAATTTCAATACTAATTCTATATTCTATTATTCTATACTATATATGCTTTTAGCTTTTGATAATTTGATTATACCACCATGGAATCGTATTTCTTAAAAAACTTAATTTTTAGTTAAAAATTTTCTTAATGGGTACTTATACATTTATTTCGTATTTTTGTGTCAATTAAGCTGTTATTAGTTCAAAAATGTTATATGCAGTAGCACTTCTTTTATTTTTGAATTTGAGATTTGATTAACTGATGCCTACTTAGATTTTGAATGAAAAGTTGTACTATGGTTTTACAATCACATTTTKGTGATGTATAATAGTGTATAATATAAAATATAAATACWTTAATTTTAAACTTTGAATGTTGTTTTTGGAAGTACCCACATTAATTTGTAATATTGTTATTTATACATTTAAATATCCATAGAAATGGCAAATGGAGACTGAATCACCGTCTGACGAGATGGTTTTTCGTATAGTATGGTTTCCCATTGAATGYAAATTCAGCACGTCCGCAATGGTAACCCAACTACAATAATGRTCTAATAAATAATATGTGTATATTAAAAAATTATACTATACAGTAGAACAAAATCACCTTTTTTTAATTTCTCWTCAATATCAATTGTTCTAAAAAACATATGACAGCAGAATTTTGTATTTATATCTGTCAACTGCATAACTAATGTGGTTATATAATAGTAACGAAATTTATAAATATACTGTGATTATTATTATTCGAAACAAATTTGGAATTCTGTTTAAACGTTTTACAGATGCGTTACTAATGCTTTTAAATAAGTGCATTAAATTGTATAAATAATTATTGTATATATAATATATATATATATATTCCTGACATACATGGTCATCAAACTTATTGATAAGATGGTAACAATATTTAATAATTAGCTTTACTACATACAAACATTAAAAACTGTCTGTAAATCATATAATTTATTCCATGGACAAAAGGAAACGTTTATGTATCTGCATTCTGTGTAGTTAGAAAAGAATATGTAATAAATAATTATTATTACGGAGAGAAGACCGAATAGACTGCAATCTGTAAATAGGTACCTAGTTGATACGATATGTTTTAAATTTTAGTTATCGATACGATTTTTGAACTTACACTCTTCGAATAATTAAGAAAGGCAATTAGTATTTAACGAAATAAATAATAATGRTTGGTAATAACATTGATTATATAAACTAGTTTATATAATCAATGGTAATAATTTGTACTCATAAATGAAATATTGTAGGTATTTCATGATCTGCCCCTACGGTTGGATAAGATGGAGAGAATTTGACTATAACTAGTGTCTAGTACTTAACTACAATCGGCAAATATAAAGCCTAAACTRTAAGCTGGGCCGCTTGAGTGATTTTTATATGTTATAGACCACCCTACTTTACAAACAACATTGAAATATCTCAAGACAAAAGCAACCTCGAGTTAAATTTTTTCCATAAAAATAAATATTTTTAATTGTTCTGTGTTGATATTAGGTATATAATACCTACACGTATATATATATATATAATTTAATGTTTATAGATATTGTAATGATCAATTATGTCAAGACTCAAGAATTGTATTGAGTTTGGAGTAAGCTAATTAAAAATTTTTTATCGATAAAATATTATTTTTTTTCAAATATTCAATTTATATGATTGGGGTGGTTGTGTWTATGAACATTGGTTGACTCAWACAATATTGCAGTTCATAATATAATAGCGTAATATGCAAGTAAAAAAATCATAACTGATACATTATGTCCATTGTGAATCGTAATTATTTAAACTAGTAACCATTAATAACATAAGCGTGCGTAGGTATTCTTGGCAGGGGAGGCAATACCTTAGCTAAGGAGGTCCAGACTCCAATCCCCCCACCCGATTTTCCTCAATTGGTAGATATAATATTATATTTTGGTGAAGAGGAAAATCTCGCAGGGGAGGCAGCTGCCTCCCTCGTGCGCACGCTTATGGTTAATAATAAATATAATATATAAAATAATATGTTACCAGCAATTTGCCTCCAAARTCAGACCATAGAACAATAAAACGCGATATTATTTAATTAGGATGTTTACGACTAGTTGTAATTAAGTAATATTTTAGAGTTTGCCAAGACGCTGATCCCGTTGGCAATTTAACAAGCACGCGCTTGTTTTGTAATCAAATATTTTAGGTAACCGTCGCGCTCGTGTATACCCCTAAGATCGAAATAAATAATTATTATTTATGGTAACTCTCATTCGAGGTTCTAAGGTCTTACATACGACATGTCAGGTACTACGCGAACGCGATAGAAAAATACTGTACTGAAGTACATCAATATTAAATACAGCCAATATATAGATATTAAGTATCGCTCGAGTATATGACCCAAAACCATATTATTTACAATCTATTGAGACGACGATGGTCGAAAACAGAAATAAAATACGATTCCCATAATATTATATACCTACACAAATATCGACAGTTAAAATATTTTAAAAAACAAATTACCCCTCGTTTTTAAGTAATATATTAGCAGTGATCAACTTGCTAAATTTCATCTGACGTAAAAATGTGTTGTGAATAATWATGACAAGATTGCTGTCGTGTAACGACTAAAACAAGGGACTTGGTAAAAAACCGAATGTTTTAGTCACGTCTCACGAGGGCATATGCGCCATGCGGCCAGGACCGTGTGTGTGGCGTGAGGTGGTAGSTAATAAAAAAAAAAAAATGGCATTTTTCTAAAAGAGCGAGGTTGCGATCCGCAACGTGGCCGCCACACGGCAGTGTTGAATTTTTGCTATGTTTGCATTCTCCGGTTGGCGTGTCTCGTCCTACCGCGTTTTTGTTATGAAAATGAAATATGAATTCGAGCGCTATACRACGTGGTTGTTGGTTCAAACGCGGCCCATAGAGTCGTCGCGCCGCATTAAAAATAATATAAATATGACGATAGTGGATGGTCGTGGGATGACCGCGGTGTGCGGTACAGGCGCGAACGCGGCAACGCCGCCCGCCGGTAACCGTTTACCGTCTCTCGCTCCACGATCGCTTCGATCGCCGCACACCCGCCCGCGTACATATCACTACATCAGCTAATGAGTAATGAGCGCTCGTGGCATGTCTCTATGGCGCGCGCCGGGCACGAATGCACGATGCCACGAGCCCACGATACATATAATAATAATAATAGTAAAGACTGTGATAATACGAACGGTGGCGGTGGTCGGCGGGTGGCGGGTGCATTTGGGCCATTGGGCGGCGCGCACTCGCGTGCACCGGACGGCGCGGCGGACTCTCGATATAAACCCGCGTGCGCGCGCGCAATAGTAACAGTTCACCACCATCACCACGTCCGTTTCCCGAACCCCGCCGACAACACCACCGCCAGAACCCCACCCAACGACGACACCACCGCCGCAAGTCGCAACCAGCGCTACGGCGCTACCGCTACCAACATCACCACCACCGTCACCGCGCGTTTGTATTGGCTCGTTTTTCGCGTCGTTGGCCGCCCGTGCGCGTTCTCGGCTTTTAGCCGCATCAATTTTTACTTTTTGGACTTTGACACCCATTCCCGTGGTCGCCGCCGTCGCCGTCGTCACGATTATGGTGGTCCGGACGAACAGCGCWCGAAACGATATGCAATCGTCAAACGGCGGTACGATGTTTCGATTACAATGTCTCTAAGTGACATTTGTCTAATGTATCTCTTATTGTTTAATTCTTAATACCCATTTTTTCCCCGTTTTTTTTTCTATTTTTTTTTGGTTTTATTATAATTTTTTACATTTTTTTTTCATTTTATACATACCGCATTAATTTTCTTTATTTTAATTTAATTTTAAATTAAGCTACTTTTATTCAAAAAATTTATACACGTACTTAGTATTCTTAATCCGCTTTAGCTCGCATACAATTATATTATATAACTCTCCAAAACTGCCATCGTCGTCGTCTTACGTTTAAATATTAATATTATATTATAAACGTATCTTCTACACGCGGGTGGATTTCGATCCGTCTTGAAGTTAAAGAAAAGTCAGTCGCTCGTTCGTATTCCAAATGTCACAATCTCAAAATACAGATGAAAAATGACAACTGTCGTTGATACGCCTCCTCATAGTTGTACCTAAATTTTATTGCCAAAAAAATCTATCCAATTACCGGAGGATTTGTCGTTAGGATTTATTCCCGGTCACGAGGACATCAATTAAACTAAGTAAACATGAAAGATAAACCGAATTCAACTCGCATTTATGACGAGGATGGATTTCGCAGGCGAGCTGCTTGTATATGTGTGCGCAATGATTCCGATGAGGTAATTATAATTTCGTTTTAATATAATATTATTCCGTAGGTATGACATTATTTGGGCTTTTGAGATGTCATTAATGCACTGCGCGTATAGTACATCACGTTGAACTATCATTCTGGTATTACAATTACATCACATMTTTATATAACAATAGTAATAATAATAAGTTCCTATTTTTTTACCACTGTATTATTGTAATAAGTAGGTACCTACGTCAATTAAAATTAATTCGATTCACAGAATTCAATATTATTTTTAAATATATTATGTTCGTCCAYTACATATACTGCACAGCTATCAGTATAATAATTTTTGTCTTATGTTGTTAAATCATAGCTATTGATTTTGCTAAATAATATTGTACAATTTGTGAACTTATTTGCATTATATTTTTTATCATAATTTGACCTAGGAAGTTCTATGTGAAGTCTAACCTATCTACTCAATATGAATGTATAAAGTAAATATTTTATGTAATTGTATACATTAAAATATTTCTACCTTTGGAACTGTCCAATTTAAAATGTTTTGATACATTCCGTGATTTGTAAATCAGGATTAATAATGTGATAACAATTATTAATCATGACATTCATGGGGTATGTTGCAGAGTTGGTTTATTGAGTTATTATTTTTAATTCTAGAATCTATTCATATTTTTCACAAAATTTATTTAAGCTCTGCAGGATACCTACCTATTGTATTAATTATTTTAATAAAAAAGAATTTGGTGAAATTAATTTTAGTTTATATTTACCCTACTTTTGATTAGCCTTCTTATATCTTATTAGTCATTTAGGTTTTTGATAAGATAGGTATTACAATTTACCATTGATTAAATATCTATTCTCGTATCTATTCTTGTGTGCTTTATTGATTATATATTATATTCAATATTCAATATTTGGCTCGTACAGGTTATTTTTAGTTTTTAGAAATTTTAACTAAAAATAACATTTTCAAGGTATTTGAATGTCATKCRGTCATCAGACAGATAAACAAATTGTCTTTAACTTAGTTACACGTAGGTATCTACGTTATCTACCTATATAATATATATTCTGCCTGTTATAGAAATATGTTAAGTAAGTAATGAAACTAATATTGTTATGAAATTTAAATATACTCATAAAAATGTTTCTTTTAAATACCAAGATAAATAATTTTAACAGACTTGATATACTTTAAGTAGTTTTATGTTACTTTTTATCTAAATGTTATTTTTAGTACTATAGTTAGCCCATTTTAAATTAAATTTGAGTATTTTGTGTGTGATACTTCATCGTATTTTTTGTACGACGTTTATAGTACTCATCCTTTAATTATTTTTGTTTTTACAACTTTTAAGCGTTTGYAAAATTATAAATATCATTAAAATATGTTATATTTGTTATGTATTACCTACTCAAGCTATATTCCTAAGAGACAATTTTACTCGAAATACATAGTATGCAATGTGGTGTTTCACATTGATCTGACACATGGAATAACTTTTTTTGTATTCAATATTTTAAAATCAATTTTTTACTATATAATTCATAGACACTTGCGCTACATTTTTAGTATAATTTTTATCCTTTACTGAAACTTAAAAACTGATAAAATTTTTTTTWAATTAATTCAAAATAGCCTATTTATGTATCTGATTATAAGAAGAATTTTGATGGTAAAAATATTTATCTAGTCAAGTAATTTATTTTTTAGAATTTTTAGAATGTTTTGGTTAAATTAATTAAGAAYGTAATAACTTTTTTTTAAATATGATTTTTGAGAATTTGCTAATATGAGTATATTATTCCTTAAATTCTTAACTCATCATATAATGCTAACAATTTTTATCATATGTTTAATTAGCATAATTTTTTTTTTTCGGATCTTTCTGAGACCAGAGGCGGTTTGAGTATACTGTTTTTGGTGCACTGCACCGCCAATGTTAGGGGGGTTGGTGGTCTTGGTTGATCATGTGCTGACCGCAATGTTTAATTTTAATGTTCAATAAATGAAAAAAGTAATAAAGTACCTAATCAATGACATATGATAAATGATAATCGTGGCTGAAACT